AAGTACAATTTTAAATGAATAAATTATTTATTAGTATCTATAACTTATTTTATATAATATTTATTACCAATATTTAGAATTAAGCAAATCGAAACGAGATAACTGGTAACAAAAACGAGACTTGCACAGGACTCAATTTTTTCAGATTTGACGTGAGTGAGACGAGATTTTTTTTTATATTCTCGCCCACTCTCGTCTCGTTTGAAGCCCTAGCGGTCCGAAACTAAAAAAATAAAAATGATTTATAACAACACGACAACAGCGTGTCACTTAATTTTGCACAGACATACAACTTGTAATAATTCTAAAATAATTTTGTTTTTGCCGAGGTTCTACCTAAAAAAATTCATTTTTTGGTTTTTCTTTTAAACGTTTATTTTTTATGCTTTAACTTTAGGAATTAATTCCATACACGTAGAACCGTTCAGCAATAAAATACAGAATTCTACATATAAGTAACGGCATATAAGAAATAAAAACATAGTATGGAATCATTCTAATAACCATAAGATCATGTAAGCCAATAAATCATTGCAAGAAAATCAAAAATGTAGATCAGAAATGTAGACAAAGCTCTAAAATGCAAAATTTTACATGATAGCCAAACCATTACCATACAAGCGTTGAGTTCTTGCACGAACAAATGTAGCGAGTCAATTGCGACAGAATCCCGGTCGCAATTTGAAATCCCAAGCATTTAACTTGCTTATAACTGGTCATTGCAGCGCATCATAGACATTATTAGGAATATTAACAAATTTATGATTAACAACCATTTATTAGCTATTAAAGTTGCTATTAAATATAAATTTTTAGTTATTCATTGGTAATGAATTTTAGCGGACATTTAATCATTTTCAAAAGCCATGCAAAGATACGATTTATACAATTGGTATCCTAAAGTGTACCGACCATATACCGACATTCATATATTAAAATATCGGATGAAATTTGAAATATTTTGTTTTAAAAAATTATAGTTTAAAAAAACTAATAAAAACACGCTTTAATCGAACTGAAAGAATTAAAATAATAATTTCTGATACAAGTAAATAAAATAAATAAATATGATTTATATACTTTTCACTTCCAATTCATTAATAGTCATTATTTGAACCATGTACCATACTTTTAATATAACGCTACAGATATTTACATTATATATGTAATAAGCTTTCGGGCAGCACTTTCTTATCTGAAATTTTCGAACCTTAGGTTTCTCTGGTTAACGATCCGCAAATTTGAATCCTTCCCAGGGAACGGTAGGTACGTCAATTTTTTAATTATGTACCTGAATCTGTACCAACCACTACGCTAAGTTTCAGCCAATCCTAAACAAGGAAACAATATCACATGACCATTCCAATCATTTTATTAATTTCTACCAGTTATTTGATGCATGTTTCCTACCCACGATTTACCGTCTTTGCACTTTAACCTTAACATAAACACGCAATCGCCTTCGGAATCCTTTCCTCAGCATTACGGTTACTGCTAGGTGAGTTTTCTAAAAAATCGTGCGTCTTTACGAACGACGCAATCTTTCTGTGTCCGCATGAAGCTTTGCTTAATATGTATGAAGTGTCTTGTCACAAAGAACCGCTTTTTGTAACTGACAAATGTTAGAAACACTTTGACTGCAAGGCAAATCGGACATATTTTGTTCTTTGAACTTTTACTTTCGTTTGCAATCTTACAAAGTAAAACGACAGTAATATTTAACCACGCCGACTCTTCCTACTCTTTCTTCTCCAAAGTACAAGTGCATTGTAAATATGTATGCTATAAATATACGGTCTACAATAAGTATACAAGTTCAGAATTACTAAAGATTGCATGTTTTCAAAGTAAATTAAAATGCAACGTAATTAATTACCTAACAAATGTACAAAAATGTCTACATTAGACTGTAATTGTAGACCACGTACTAGCCGTTCGGGACGTATTAACTCATTAAATGTTGCTAGAACTTGTGCTACAAGAGCTCGTTACAACTTATATTTCCCAGAAATATTAATTTTTTTTGTAGATAATGCCAGTTCACACTTCCTACCTCAAATCACCCGCAAATTTTGTATTTAGTTATACCCGGTTTAGGGCTGGCCCGCGTGTCACCAAACGGGCATAATTAGCCCGAGTAGGAATTTAGTAAAACATACTCGTTTCAACTACACCAATACTAAATAATAAATGAATCAGTATATGTAGGTTGATACATTGAAAAGCAATAAACACATGTTATGAATGTTTTCAGATTGAATGAGAATTTTATGAAATTGTGTTCTGGGATATTTATGCGGAACAAATTTTGTATAGAAGCAAGCAAAAAGAGCAAAATGAGCAATGCAGAAAAACCAAGATGCTGACAGCGAAGTAGACGAGAACGGACGTGGCCAGCAACACAACAAGATAACAAACTTCAAGTTCAATTTTATTTCTAGGAATTTTATCTTTAATTTCCCGTGCTTGCGATGCTACTTCAAACAGTAGTACATTTTAGAAATTTTACTTCTATAACAAAAAATGTATTTTTCAAGCGCCTAATTTCAGTTCGCACTTGTATCGTAAGTCCAATTTGGACAGTGAGTGTGTCACACATACTTTTTTAATTAAGTAATTTAATCTTTTTGAGCCATTTATAAGATTATACTCACCCTCTCGTACTACCTACCATTGTATTTCAACATTTATAAGATATTAGCTTAATGTGATCTGATTAATAAACACATTGGCAATTTATTTGCTCTAGAAGTTTTCATTTGGCAATTTTCTGATATTAAATCACCATCATTTATGTAAACGATCGTTTTGAACATGTTTCATCCTCGCACTACATGCACCCTGACGAATAAAGAAAAGTTCTCTACTAGAACTGCTTTATGTAAAATAATCGCTCAATAGTAATATGGATTTACATGCAGAATAAATTTCAGCCCTCGTTTGCGCTATTGACGCTCAGTTCGGCATTTTTCGTGTGATTTTTCGTGTAGATATGTGTATTAATAGTTAAAATATATAATTTTTAGAATTCAAGTGAAATCAAGTTTGACATTGGAGTTTGTCCGCCGTAACAAACAATATATAGTTATATTACAATAAAACCAGGTCGATTATCTTTATTACACTTTTTATCTAACCGTTGGTTACGTTATTCAATTCAATTCAATTGTTGTGACAATCTACCCAATTGCTCCGCACAAGGGTGCGTAGTACAGGTACGAAAAGGAGACGATATTCAAGCATTCACGCATTTATTTGAACATCTAAAAAATTCTAAAAATTTAATTTGATATATAAAATGGAAAAAGAAAAAATAACAACATAAGTAAACGCAAAATATAAAATGTGGCATGGATAAAACCCCAATGCTTAACATAAACAAGAAATATTGACGACGCGTCGAGACTTTGAAAAGTTCGGAAATTGAAAATTTATTAATAGCCATCGGCTTCATGTATTCCACACAAACACATCTACATAAATGCGCTAGCTCAAGACGCATCTTGTCTGGAAAGGAGGAAAAAACACGTTTTTCAAGTGGTGCTATTTTCGGCGCCCGCACGCGAAGCCGAACTATGTGAAACGCGCTTTTGATTGATATCGATTATATGCATTGTATAAAGATGAAAAATAGTAAAGCTGCGTTGTACAGTTTCCACACACCGCGACTCCGAGGACATTAATAACATTGTATGTAAAATACAGTTTTTTTTTTTCAAGACAGAATAATTTTGTATACAGCATGTCGGTACAAATTTTAACTTTAAAAACATGTTATCTTTTGTTGTGTGTATACATTTTATATAATAAAAGCGGTACGACCTGTGTGCAACTTTTGGTACTCGAATTTCGAGCGCTACGCTGCTGTTTATATTATTTTGCGAGAGGGACTATAAATAAAATATTCGATGTGGCGCATGCAAGCAAGACACTGACGACGCGTTGTTTGTTATCGACATTTTAACCAGCAACGACTTCGTCAAAAAAACTGTTAGTATGCAAACAATTTTTGCACAGCAAACTCACTAAAAATGTTATCAACTTCCGAAAGTGTTCACAAAAAAAGTTATTTCCCTTCTCAAACATATGCCTAAATATTTATTTCGGTAAATTAATTTTTAGTTGCAAAACTGCTTTATACTCCAATTTAATCGCAAAGACATTCCAACCGATTGGCACAAATATGACGGTCAACGCCGGTGTACGACGATCACTCAACCGCAAAAGCCTCAGCTTAGAATGCGTGTACAGCGCGGTATCATTAGGGTATTAATTCGATCTAAAACCCTCGGACCCAAAATTATCGTGCACGGACCGCTTACACGATTATAACTTGCATAATCGAGTTACATGATATCATCAAACGACAATCAAAAATAACAAGTTAAAGTAAATATGATGACACAATATCTAAGGGACTAAGCACGCCCCTACATTAACATAATGAACGTTTGGTTACATAACTTTAAAGCATGCTTGTTTGTATAACTTTCGTGAGCCGTGCCTTAAGAATGGATTTATAATTTTCAGAAAATGCGCGGCCACGGAACGCTTTGGAACACTTTTAAGTAAAGTAGATTCGCTGGAGGTGGAGAATTTTTTTTTACAAAAATATTCATAGGCATTTTGCCGACTATTCATTTTATTGTTCATTATATTATGTCTGGGCGATCTACTTGTCTCACATACCAACACCAACAAAATATGAATTTAAAAAAAAAAATCCGCAGAAAATGTGTGAATTATTAACTAACTAAAGCAAAATCGTCACACTGGCCAAAAGTTTCATGAGTTGCAGGTAGATAGAGAAATGTATTCTCAATAATAAATCCTACGCTACCATAAATTATAAATCTAGTACCCGTATAAATAATTGTGAGGGTTCAAAACCTCACAATACCCTTATACATTTTCGCTATTTATAACTGCATCGTTTTCAAACCAATCAACATTTGCCAAACTTAGAAACAAAAGTTGAATTAATAAAATATAAAACTCACTCCATCGGGATTATGTTTGTAGGGTGGTCCACTACCACAAAACTCTACCAGCACGTCCTGCAGCTTCTTGGACGAATCTAGAAACAAAGAAATATTTATAAACGTTTCAAAAAAATTTATGATTAGCGCATCGTCTAACAAATTTCCATTATTATTATTATTATTAATTTCAAATTCAATAGCTCAAGTGGGTCGCAATTAAGTTAATGTCTTTAATATAATTTCAGTATTTTGATGGAACAAAATTGAATTTATGGGAATAAAAAAATCGGGAAAGCCTGCCGCAATTGTAATCATGGCGCTAATAAATTTATATCGATAGGACTGCACAATACAAATTTTTGCGAATAAAACGAATTATTTATTATCCGCAATTTCACTAATTCAATATTATACCATGCGTTTTTGTCCCAAATTGTTCAAATATTGTAAGGGTATACTTAAGAAACGCTTGCTAAGGTGGAAACGATTTGTTGATGCATGAACATGTAAAACGATGAAATCTACCCGCGCGCGAAAGGATGCAGGCGCGCAAACTAATTAGCCGCTAATTGGTAACAAGAACAGCGGAGGCGACGTCGGTGTTGGCGGCGCGTAATTTAAGCTGAAGCATAGAACGAGCGTAGCGCGGGAACTTAAAAATGATAGTTATTAACACAACCAGCTAAGTCGTAAAGTCGAGACCGTATTCAAATGCAAAAACAAACACGTGGTAATAAAACGATTAAAACACTTTCATTCAAACATTTTCCAATATTACCTGAATACGAAGCGTTCAATTTTAAAACCCGTAAAATCACAAGACCCTACCTATCGTGCAGCGTATAATATTCAGCCATAACCTTCAAATAAAATAAAATGCGACCACTTTTGCGACTATTTGAAACGCAAAATATCCATATAGTTTTCAACTCACATGTTGCCAGGTCCTGCAGCTGTTGAAACTCCTGCGGCGACAGTTTCTCCCACAACAAAGCCATACTATTTGTTTTCTTACTTGATGCACGATGTTTCCTGGGCGAGAGGATCGATTCACTTTCTATTCTCCAGGAGACGCTGAAGGCTAGATCGCGTTCTCGGGTTACTGCTTTTACTCACTGGCATGGCAACAGTGCTCGTTCGGCTAGAAAAATTAGTAGACGATTATTTGATGAAAAAAATAAGAAATTTTGCAAAACACAAAGATAGATAAATAAATTAAATGTATATGATAAATATCGACCAACACTTAAACATCAATTCAAACTCTAATTAAAATTTATTTAATCCTGCACATAAATCAAACACTTCCTTTTTGAATGTATGTTTTTATCAGTATTTTGACTACACATTTTACAAGAGATCCTGTAAAATATTAGGGGGAAGTCCCCTAGTGGCGGACACCTAAGGTTATTTATAAATAAATCAAAAAATATTTGAAGAAATGTTAATTAAATTATGACATATAGTAGATAACAAAGTTAGAAATCAAATTAAAATAACAAAAATGCAACCTCTTTTAAAAAATAATTAATACTATCAATTAAACTTTGGTAATAAAAAGTATAGTTTTAAAAAGTGGCACCTAGTACCGGACACATATTTGTGCCATACCCCTCTCACCGGACATTTCAAATATGTCATATGGTTAGGTAGGCTACCTTGTTTGGTATTATTTATGGGGCGGTGGGGGGTGGGGTGATAGAATTTAACGATTTATTCAACGGATTTAACACACTGACTAGAAGCAGCCCGTGAATGCATATATCCACTAGCTAATGTGTTGATTTCAGTTACAATGAATACTTTAACTACGAATTTTAGCGAATGTATGCATTGACTAGTAAATATATACATTTACTAAATGTTTGCATTGACTGCAACATAGCCATCTCCTCACTCTCTCTCTCTCACAAGAAATATCAATATGTTTACTGTCCGGCGCTAAGGGACAACTTAGTGTCCGGTGCTAAGGGACAGACATTTTCGTTCATTTGGTGGTACCTACTAAAATTGTTTAAAAAATCTAATAATATTCTACCATTTTACGGATAACAATCAAGTACTACTTGTATCTTTGAATACCACTCAAATGTAAATGCATAAATATACTAGAATTACTTACATTGATATTTAGGTGACGTCGTGATTTTGCGCCTGAAACAGCAAACGGCTGCTCCCGCCGTGGCCGTGTGCGTTTCTGGCGAGCCACGACGAGTGATCCTGTACCTGTGTGCCCCCCGCGCCCCTTTCACTTGTTTTTTGAAATGAAAAGATTTAAACTAGCTTAAATAGTACGAGTGTCCGGTGCTAGGTGCCGTCCGGCGTTACGGGACTTCCCCCTACGACCCTATGAAATAGATCTACCATAATCAAATGAAAGGTTCTGTTTGCATACCGAATCTAATTATAATCAAATGTCAATACAAATTGCATCAAGGTTCACGTTTCAATTTCGGAATGCCGAATAACAGAAATTTGCAATGCAGAACAAACACGTGTGCTAATGAATCAGGTGAAATTAAGGTCCGACCGAAACTGTTTTTTTCGGTAGACACAGAAACCTAATTTAGGTCTTGATCTCAGTTTGTGAAAAATGAATTGTCAATCATAATCAGTATTAACTAAGCATAAAAAAGTTTAGGTATTAATATTTATTATTCCACAATCTAATATTTTGTGCTAGAAACAAGTAATTCTCAGCATTTTCGTCATATCTATAAGGAATTGCTTCCCCGCTCTGAATGCGGACCGCATAAAATAAATATAAGTGAAATTTGCAAATTTTGAATAGAGTGCCGCAAGTTGTATTAAAAAAATAAGCATTTTCAATAACTAGATAAACATAAGTGCACTAAGCCATAATAAAAATATAGCATTATATGACACGGTGCCTGAGAATTAAAAAATTTGCACAAATGTTCATGAGAAAAAATCATAGTTTGGCATAAGTTTCGGTTTCGGCCGTTGTTGCGGCTAAATTTAAGTCGAAACCGAAATTTGGCCAAAACCCTTAAAAATCGGGTAGAAACCGAATGTATTTCGGTCGGACCTTAGGTGAAATATTCAATTTAAAGTTCAAATTCGCATTGCTTCGTTTTCTACTTTGTATCAATCACATCAATAGCATATTAAATTAATAAAGTACTCCGTATGGCTACAGCAAAACATCGCTACATTTAACGCTAACCAATGCAATTGGAAAATGAAAAAGATTGCAATTTGCTCGAGTGGGTTTAGCGTCACATAATAAATAGTAATATAACTAAATTTATTGCGTGTTTTATAACATTATAGTACCAATAACATTTTTCGATTGACAATAATATGAATATAAATAAATTACGCATTAATGAAAATGCAATCAGTAAATTCAAATAATCATACAAGAACATAAAAGTTAAAATGTAAAAATATCAGTTGCCGCAGGGTGAAAATAAAGTCTGAAACATTTATTGTGATCGACATTTCGATACGAAATGCGACATAAATGATTGATGTGGTGAATGCGTTCGTACCAAACGCATATCGCAGCGTCCGATAATGTAAATGTAAAATCTATTATTCAGTCGTCATTTTCACGGATCATTCGGAACGCGCGCAGGCATGAATAACAACTTCATCAACATCAAACCCGACCACGCGCGTTGGTATAATAACGTAGGAATAAGAACAATAACAATCTAATTTTGACTCAACCCAATAATTAAAAAAAATGTACATATGATTTGCACATTAAAATGAGTAATAATGTTTTACAATTAAAGATGTCATTGGAACATCTATAGCACTTCAGAAAATAACAGTTGGGCCTGTATTAGAATTGATTGACATCATTGGTATGTATGGCATAGTGCGAGTATCAAATTGAACGATGGCGTAAATTAATAACAGAATGAAAATTGCATTTTCCAATTGGAAGCATAAAAATCTCCGACTCAAATCACAATCCAGGAATACATAGCGTGCCGGCTTTTGTACGTCGCCGATATTCTCTATTGCCATGAGTAAGTACCAAATTGGGTTTTCAAATATAGGACTTTGTTTTCGTTTCGAATATTTAAGACGAGTATTTATTAATGTAGCGCAAAGTGAATTTTATTAATTAAAATTCAATGCTGTTTATTTTACAAGAAGAACTAATGCCGACACGATAATGAACTTAACTAACTTATTAAAACAAAACAAGATGGCTGAAAGATGGCTCGAGCCGCTTGAGGTGGGTTGCGCAACACCACAAGTGAAAGAGCGCCAAATTCAATAATTAATATAATTTATGATAAAATACAAAAATACAATGCAATACATACATTAAAAATGGATTTTTTAAAGCCAAATGAACAGAACATTGAATGCAATTGGATTTTAAAATTAAAAATCATAGCCATAACAATTTACTCAGTTTAAAAATAATTTACTTAGTATCTACGCATTCCAACCATCAGTTTGGTTGTGAGGCAATATTTTAAAATGTAGTGAAACGCAACTGTGTCTAAGTAAAAAGTTATCCACGGTGGTTAACAAACTAATTAAAGTCTAAATATAATGTTTATGTGAGCTATAATTTTCGCTTTGTTTCCAGTACATGCCCGTGAATTATTTCAAATTTTATTACAAATAAAAATGATTACCTATTTTCATGTATACATGAATACATAGCATAGTAATAAATACACTGCTATATCTACTATATCCCCCAACCATGAAAAAAGATTTTTTTGAGTAAAATATGTTTTATCCTCTGTAACTGAGTTTAAATAAAAAAAGCTTTCTTCATAACCCGTAATTGAAGAACAACTAAATATTAATTAAAGTGATATAAGCAATAAAACATAAAGAAAAAACTAGTTAGAGATGGTTTTCCTTGTCGACGCATTGTATGTGTGTGCACACCGCCGTTGCCATAACAATTCTAATTGTGACGCAAAACGCAAACGATCTCGTTGCGGAGGCGGCGGACGTCGTTGCGCAAAATGCGACAAAATCACCATGCACTCTACGACGTCAAAGCAAAGCGGGCATAATAACCCACCTCCAGCAACTGCCGTACTCAACAATTGATGTGTGAAGTATAAATCAACATCAACTCGAGAAAAACGTACAACTGTGTATAAGAAAAACAACAAATAAAAAACTCAAATAGAGAGTTGAATAGAAGCAAACAAATCCTCAAGAACAAGAGAAGAAAAAGTGAACTCGTGTACCTCAATTGTAATTGTGGCTAACCCTAGAGCATACATGAATAGTCGATTGGTTACATTTTATGCAACAATAAGTGTGTGGACTTGCGTCTTGAAATATAGTTAAAAGTTTGTACAGGAACAACTATATTTATATTACAGTTTCGCATGCCGTTTGTGCAGTGTACCATTGTGCTGCAAATGCTTTATGTAAATTTAATGTCAGCGTATCACCGTGCAAACTTTTACTGCGGTTTTACGACTACTGCAAAATATAGAAATCTAATAATGTCCTGTGGTATATTGTGCATCGACTTTACATATATATTCCAGAAAAACTTTATTATTCAATTATTATTTAGGCCGTGTGAAGCCTGTTTATTGTCGAATTATTGATGATTTTGTTTACTCCCTAGTTGCGGCGATCGGCTTTGTGCCACCAGCATGCGTCTGCATCGTTTATTTATTTCGCCTCGCAGTCGTCGACGCGTGGCAGTTATCTTCGTTTCCTATTTTCCGCACCATTCAGAGCGCGATTCGCAATCTTCCATTCACTATTCATCCAGCCACCGGCGCCGCCGCCGTTGATGAATTTATTATCTGCTTGTCTGCCGTTACACCTTTGTGTTTACTTTGTGAATCCGCGAAGAGAGATTAGAAACGGTAAACATAATGGCTATGAAAAATCATATTATACCTAGGAAGATTAATCATAATCTAATGCAATCCTTGGATTATATTTAATGATAAATTCAACCTTATAACTTGGGTTATCTTCATATTTTGATGCTTGTTAATCGGAATTGCAACAAAGGTGTAGACATGTAAGAAACCACGCATCAGTTTGGAACAATGCTCAAACATTTTTAGAATATTCATACACATCCAAGTTATTAAATATTTCAAATTATGATGACATTTCGTAAATTATGAATATGAGCAAGGAAGGCAGCATGCAACAAAA